TTTATCAGTCCGAGCAGCGTTTATTTATTTATAAACTACTATCACTATTTCAGTTGATTATTACCAAATGTTTAAAATAGATCCATGATTTTGTGAAGTGTTTTATTTAAATTGTGTTTAATAATTAATCTACTTTTCATTTACATATCACATAATATGTTTATGAATTTTCATTATCAAATGCACATTCAGGGCCAATATAATGCAATTTCCAAATATGGGCATTGTATATAATGAATATTATTTTTTAATGCATGTTACTATTTCATTGTAATTTCTTCTTCAGAAGCGTCACCAGAGTTGAAGTCACTGCTTGACAGTGTTGTGTATTCATCTCGCTATGCCTTGGGACTCTACTTCAAACCTGGTTCTAATATTGATGTACCATGGTGTGGTAAATATGAATACAAGGATCCATGTATACGCTGGATGGCTGTAGATGCAAAGAAGAGAGGAAAAGGTAATTATTTCAACTAAATTCGCTGCTCTTCATTTTAAATGCTCGTGATGTGTACGAGAAATACCACAAGGGAGTGTTTTTTTACAGATTAGAGGGCGGTGGTCGTCGCGCCGCGTTCTGTTCGATATGGGACTCATAGCAACGTATACAGCGCGTGTAAAATACAACGTTTATTTACCGTACACGACCGCTTTAGCGCCCAGAGGCCTCAACTCAGAAAATCATGATTTTTTAGGGGTGGGCGAGCACCCCCCTCGAAATATAGTGCAAATGAAAATTTTGAATCATCAAGTGACGTCTTTGAGGGAAAATCAAATTATGAAATTTTCACAATGAAGAAACAGAAATGATCAAAAAAAATATGCACATTTTATTACAATATTGATTACGTACCACCAGAATTTACGAAATTAAAAACATTTGAGTCTGTTGGAACACAGTCGAAGTCAAAATTGTCATATTATCTCCACTGACAAAGATGTTGGATCGTACACAAACTCTCGATGAAAATCACTTTCCGCCATGATGCATTTGCAGATTTGACATGCAGCAGCGTCCTTTGACCTAATGGGTTAAGTTGGTTATTAACGAATCAGAATGCTGTGTTGTACTGACGCAATTCTTCGGAAATTCCCAAAGATTTTCCGGTAACGCAATGCGGAAGTGAATTATCGATCTCGAAGTACGATCTGTTGGAATTGATTTCAGCGAATAAACGACATGGTTTTTCAAAAAAACTAGTAACTAGCCATTTTTGAGAGGTAAACTGTATATGGCATGAAATACTTATCGCATTTTACTTGTATTAACAGGTCATTGTTGAAGCGTAGTTTACGCACAGTTACCGTGTTCTACACATTCACATGTTCACAGCGGTCGATATCCACGCTGTATCATATAAAAACGATTACCAAGATTCGTTACACAAGACCAGGTTTTAAATTAGTTGCAATTTGAAGGGATGGGCGCTTTGCCGAATGTGACCCCAAATATAAAAATTGTGCAAAAGTTGAGGGTGGGCGCTTGCCCGGGCATAGGCGCTAACGCGGTCGAGTACGGTACATGAAATTCAAACACCTGCTGCGCGACGACCACCGTGCTTTAACCCATTGTTTCATTGAAATTAAATAATCCAACAATTAGTTGCATATTAATTGCTCCATGAACAGTGCTGAATGGAGGTTAATTTACATAAATACAATTTTACACTTTGTTATTTGCTCATGAATATTTCAATGCACATCATGTGACACTGAAATGACCATTCTAATGCATGTATTTACCAAGAATCTTCTTCACAATCCACAATAACTAGAGGCTCTACCTACTAGCTTTTGATATGATGGTTCAAGCCAACTTTTTAAACTGTTGAGGAAGAACTATGATTCCTCGTCAACTCAAGATTCTCACCTTGACTAGACCGCACAGTCTTAGCTAAGACGCAAGGCCTGATTTACAATAGCAGTTTACAAAATATATACAGTTATGTGTAGGGATTAAACATTATGGGTCATGTGACCACAAGTATAAGTTGCATTATATCAAGTGGTCCACACACAAGTCAATTACATAACTTGTTGTAGTCAATTCTAGTCAGTCAGTAGTTTTCAAAAGTCAACAAACTGAATGCCAAAAATTAAACACGCTTCATTCGCATCAAAAACTACATGACGATTATAACTACCGGTAGTCTTTACTGCAGTCTGTCATGCAATTTCATCTGGTTGTGACTTGCAAATTTGAAACAAAACTCAATTTGTTTTTGATTTCTTTGAACCAAAATGAATATAATTTCCAATTATTTGTTTGCTGGTCTTGATCAACATTTTTGAAACATTATCAAAAAAATTATTTGTTTTAATTTGTGGAAGGTGGAAAAAATTGAATATGGCGTTCTTGTACGCTAGACCATTTTGTATTTATATAAATTAACCTAAGTAGAGCCATGTACATTGTGCGATGCATTTGCTTGCTGAATATTTCAATTTCTGTTGTGGTATAAGACAGTAATCAAATTTCACTTTTGACATTTTTTTTAAAAATGTTTTTGTGCCAGGCGACAGTTCCTTATATTGAGTGTCACCGTTGTCTATCATGACTTTTTTGCTTGTATGTGCAAATTGCAAGTGGTAGTGCTGACAAATAGTGCATTTTTGCCACAGAAGTCATAATCATGTTTGGCACTACATGACAGGGCTGTGTGGCCATCTCTCTATCAAATGGCAATTTTAATGCGCTTAACCAAGGTTTCCCCCAAAGTTGCATTCGTTAGTGAATGAATCTTGACCAGTGGAATAAGGTAGGGGTCGACCCTTTTAACATATTCTAACTTACACGACTACATTTTTCCTACATCTGGTCAATTCTGGTGAGTATAATTATACATCTCTTTTATACTCAAATGCTTCCTACTGTCTCTAGCAACAAACCAGTGTTTATGAATACCACTGTGTTTGCACATCTAAGTACTTAAAGGAAGGCTGCTATGTAGAGATGATGGTGTGCATTACGTCTTGATCATCTTAGCTACAGGTTACTAGTCCCACATGTATATGACACATGAAATTACTGTAATCTCGGACTCAAATCTCACAAATAAGAATAATACTGAAGTTATTTAATTGTTTGCAGAGAATTCTGATGTTGGATCATCTCTTGTTGTACACACCAGTGCACCGTTTGGTATTCAGCATTTAGAAACCGATAAAGACCAAGTACAAGTCATTGTAATCGACCATTTAAAAAAACTGCTTCTAAATTTACCTCAGCCAATCAGCATTAAGTGTCAACGATGGCGGTATTCGCAGGTATGTGGAACTCCAGAACTACTGTATTAGACGAATACAGAAATGTTTGAATTTGTGTCAGCTGAGAACCCTCCTCCCCAATTAATTCTTCATGAATTAATAATAGTGCAATTTTTTAACCAAATTTGATTTTGGCAAGAATTAAATGTCAACTGTTCAATTTTTGCTTTTTGATGATTTTATTGCATTATAAAAAACAAAATTTCACAATAGTCACTAATACTTCATTTCAGAGAACCCCAAAGAAATATCACTGCTGAAATATTTTCACTGACTTGTGTGAATTTGTCTCTCACTATATTAAAACGTTTTACAGTATTTGTCATTCTTTTATTTTTTTAAGTTTAAACAATAACATATTTATCCAGGGTTAGGGGCCAATAGAATACCATAATACTCTATCGTCTGAAAATTTATAATCTGATGTAAGCCGGGGCTTCAGTCATTTTCAATCTACAAATGCCTGTTTGTGGTTGTCAAGGCACATACCTTTATTTTAAAGATCAATGAGACCAGTGGCTGCCTGTATACACATCCCGCTACACATGACCAATTAGTCAGGTGGCCATAAACCAGTATTTATATATTAATAGTGACCACCACATCCTACTGCATCAGATTTTAATGAAGTCTTATAAAATTGAATATAGATATATTTTTTCGTTGCAGGTGTTCAAGTGTGTGCCGGACAGCCCAGGTACTCTCGTCGTCAAGGAGACTCCATCCTATATGGTGTTGCTTGGTGGTGATGCATTCACACATTCTAACTTTGATGGATGCATCAGTTCAGCTACCGCCATCGCAAATAAAATTATCACTTTTCTGAAAGCTAATAAAGTGTGAATCATGAGACTGTGAGGGCGCACTTCAAGCAAATGATTATGTTGGTTTCCACTCTAAGCCTCATGGCACACAAAGCCGCAGAAGCTCAGTAACTGGTAATGGTACCAGCATTCTGATTGGCCAATGATATTCTTGTTTTTTGTTCTATTTTTGTTGGTTGTCTGACATCAGCACTTATGCTCGTGGTCGTTCTATATATTGAGCAGGCGTTTTATTTTCTCAACAAGTTTGAAAACTGTAAAACTGCTTTGTGGTTAATTTGCACAAAAATAGGTAAGAATGCTAGAACCATACAGGCAGACTGAATGGACATGACATTATTGCACTATTACAGATTGGTTTACGTAGAACATTACTTGAAACGCTTTCAAATTACATCATTTAGTCATGTGAATCTAGAGCCGTAATTCTGAGAATATGACGATTACCGTTTGTTAAAGTATTGCTACAATAAAGCTGATGTTAATTAATAACCTGTTTTTGGTTGAGGTTCTCGTAAACGTCAGACTTGCTGTACTTTAATGATTTAATAATGCAAATTTGTGAAGTTTTAGGAAGTTTTTTTTTTGCAGTTTAATCAAAAGATTTGTGTTGTCACAGTGTACTTAACTCCTTTTGTATAGGAGAATGTGCCAATGACCTGTAGAAATCACACATGATTCAGGTACATATCATAGTCAACTGCACATTGTTTTCAACCATGAACCACCTGCTTTGCTCATTTAGTAGAGTGACCATGCATACACACAGCTCGTCATGTGGGAACAGCATTGAGTTGGGAACAAAGAAACTAGTAAACTGGTATTGTTTGAAAATAAGAGAATACCTTCCTAGTAAATGCTGAACAAAAACTGTTTGCTGTCAAATGTTTGCATCTGTTAAAACAATAGCAACGAGCCAAATAGTAACATTACATATTATGTTTGACAGTAAACAAAAGTTCAGTAATATCTTGCCAGTGTGGGCATACTTGAGAAATACTTATCGGTACTCTGCTGCTGAAGGACAAATACCAATTTGAAATTAATTTGTCATCATTCTGAGTAGTGTAGGTAATTAATATTGTTACACGTTTCTTTTATATGCAAGTTTTGTTAAATCATAAGCAATATTTTATATTTATTTGAATATATATATACATGAATCAATAAATAATTACAGAAATGGAAAACTTTAATGTTTTAAAATCTACCTATGTGTGCTCATGATGATGTATGTTCATGATATGATATGATTTAAAAGTATTTTAAATCTCTGATTGATGTCAGCAGTAGAAAGTATCAAGTCGGATGCTTTGATCAGTTATCTCGCTGCATTTCATGTCAGAATGTTCATGTGATTTATGTAAATTATGATGTACATTCCAAGTATGTTTCTATGAAAATAAGAAGTCATATTTTAATGATTTGGTATACAACATAGGCAATTTTTGCTTTATTTGTGTGCTTAATTGGTGATGGGCTTCTAATACGGTAACTGAATATGTAAAATCACCAGTCGCATCAAGACGCACAAAATTATCGGCTATGTACCACACATAATTACATTTTTTCACTTTAATTAGACGAGTGACATAGGATTTTTGTTTTTAGTTTAAAATATCTATAAAAATATTACTAATAAGTCTTGAAATTCAATCTAAAATTACTGGTATTGCACATATAAATTTTAATTTCCTATAATTAATTGCAACGATAAAGCACAATAGCATGAATTGAAGTTATCTAATATTTTTTATTCATGTAAATAGCATTTCTTTAAATTATTATCCAAATATATAATCAAATATTTTTATATGTAATGTCCAGATATTATTTATGTAAATCATAATCATAATGTCCCTTTAATATTATCATCCATTATCGTCACGACAACAAAACTACTACCCCGGGTAGTTCGTATCTGATACTAAGATTTGTTTACATGATAATCCGTGTGATATTGTAACGTATTTACAAGTGATCTTTGTAGTTTGAAGCAACAAGATCACCAGTGAAACATCATGAGGTTGACATTGAATAATCTCTTTCTGTGCATGATTTCACAATCTGTGTGTTGTAGATAAATAATTGATTTTACAGTAGGTTTTGAATTAGACGCAAAAGCCTATTCTGAATTACAGACAGACAGGCGCTCTAGGTCGAAGTTCATAGGAGGGAGGGAATTTCTACCACAGCTTGTCAGATATATGCTTGGTCCTGTTAAAAAAATTGCAGTTACATGTTGGAGCCTGGCTAATACCTTAAAGTAAAATGAATACCATGTTTTGTGGTGTTGCATGCAAACCTAAATTGGGTGCAATTATTTTTTAATTTCAAGTTTGCTAAAAAAAAAAATTGTTGGTAACCGGTTTAACCAGTTTAAGAAAATTTGATCGACAAGTCATGAAGCATGATATCAACATTACCCGTCTTACCAGCAACCACGCAGTAATTGTTAATACCAACATCAGACAAAGAAACACACAATCTATGTTTTTCATTTTCAGTGTCAAACTCGATACTCAAATCTTTTGTTGAAAAATTACTTGTAATCACAAACTTGTATTGACTTCTGATTGGCACAAGACCATGACTTAACCTTCTTCCAGTACTGGAATCGGACAAGCAGCAGCTGCCATGGCAACCAATGTCAACTTTAACCCCATCATGGATTTGCATATCTTTGACACCTGAGGTTAAAATATACAAATTGAAAGAGGAATCTTCACTTAGTTGATCGGATCGCATAATCATCTCGATGTTGCCTGTTATAGTAAGCGATACTTCATTCTCTGTTGGTCTCTCAACACTTTGAATGTAACTATGGCAACCGTTTCCACTTATACCCATGCCTTCAGTGCTTGAAAAGATTCTACTTGATCCTTCTGACTCGAACAATTGCCACATACACTTGTCCCAACTGCCATGTGTACAGAGTTGTTGAACAGCGCCCTCGGGTGGTGAATTTTGAATAGCTTCTTTAAATTTTCTCATTTGTTCTTCAGAGAGATCATAGAAGATTCTATTCGTGTTGCTATGGTTTCTAAGATAAACAAGAGCAGCTGTGTCGATTGGATGATCTGGATGACTCCATAAAGTCAAAGTAAATGTTTCTTTCACACCTAGCAACCAAAGTAGCTGCTTGAGAGAGGTGCAAACGAGGGCGGCAGCGACTGGGAACGTCACGTTTTGCTGGATCTCATTTACATATTGCATCATATCGAATATTAGACCCCATGTGTACTCGTAGTTTATGCCTTTTTGTAAATTCCAACCAACTGACAAGGTAGCCGAGGGGAAATATTTGGTACACAGATCAATAAACTTGTGCGCATCGACTGCTGGGTGGCCTGGAGCAGCTTCCACAATATCAGCATTAAGCCATAGCCAACGGTTCTTCAATCTCGCCTGTTGCTGTTTGACTAGCTGCAGTGATGATTCTACCGAGGCCAATTCTTTGAAATCAAGTTTCATTCCTTTGTCAGTTGACAGCAGTTTGTCCAGCCAACTTTCTAGAGTAATGTCGCTCACGGTGGCTGGAGGATGCGCCATGATTGGTTCACCCGATTTATCAAGTATTATGTCAGCTTCTACCATTATGACATCACCTGCAAAAGTAAAACAATATCATTGTATTCAAATCAATACTTGGTCGGTTTACATAACAACAAAAATGGATCAAATGCAGATGTTTGTAGACAGTGTGCAGATGAGGATGTTTACAGCTTTTGCAAAATTATCGGGGATGAGCTAGTAAGCAAGAAAGTGGTATTTTTTTCAATAATATGAGGTTATTACCAGTACTAGAATTCCTGAAAGTATGCATGAAGACAGTATAGCAGGAGTATCAACCGACGTGCAGCAGAGGTCGATGCTCAACGTACTGTCTGAGGTATTCTCATAATAACCTTATTATTATACATCTTTTCCCTCCAAGGATACAACATGCTGTAACTTAAAGCGCGGTGGTCGTCGTGCAGCGCGTGTTGGAATTTCATGTAAATAAACAATGTATTTTACAAGCGTTGTATACGTCTCTATGAGTCCCATATCGAACAGGACTCGGCGCGACGACTGCCACCCTTTAACATGGTGTTACGGTGACAGATGTATAATAATAAAAACTATGAAAGGATATACCAGTACTTGTTTTTAATTCTGTATTATAGCATGGATATTATAAGGAATAAATGATTATGTGGTTGTAATATTGAAATAGAGCTCAACACAATTTGGGTGAAACAATAAAGATTCTGAAAGGATTACAATTTAAATTTTACTGCATACAGACAGGGATTGCTTCGAGTTGTAACCAGTGACACACCTCTCCACTGATGCCTAGATGCATGTACAGTGCTGGTAATATGTCATTATTTATTAAGATTTATGCAAATGATATTATAAGCGTCTTGAGAAATAAACTACTTGTAGTTCATTGGCCAGATATTACTAGCAATGTTGCTTGGTGTCATGGAGGTATACCTCACATGAAGTAGAATTGAAGTAGCGGATACATTTTTAGACCACAACGTATTTCAGACAATATTTCAACACACAAAAAATGAGTCTCATTTTACGACTGCCTAATAAACTAATCGTATCTCCGGATCTCAACTAGCTGCAGTTCTGTAGCTGCTGCTTTCGCTTCAGCTGGTCAGCCTGAGTCTGTGAGCGTTTTATTATAATCGATAAGGGTTTGTTTTGTTTTTTCAGTTGTTCGTTCATGACGAAGAACTGAAAAAAAACCTTAACGATTATAATAACATAGTTGAACTCTGGTGACCTTGCCCTTTGTTATATAATATAATTCCCTTTATCACAGTTTGTTTCAATATAAATATGCATTGTCATAATTAATTTTGAATACAAACAAGTTTCGGGGTTGAACCAACAGTGGGGAATC